TTTACTCACCTGCATCATTATCATTCGACTCTTCAAATCTTGCATCATTTACCGGCACCAACGACTGCTGTCGTATCAGTACTAAGCCATTCGGCCAACCAACGGAGAAGTTTGGCTGTCAAGCGATTGCGAATAATAGAGTGCAAAAGCAGTCTATACGATGCATAACCGACTTGCACTACTGTTCAACGAAAGCTACGGCAGTGTTCCAGGACGTGGTGGGTTTCCGCCTGGCAAGCGTTCTCCCTATAAAAAGCCACAAATATCTGCTTAACAACCCTGCAAAGTGCCGGATGTGACTCGCCACAAAATAAAGTCACAGCTACGCATTTCACACTGACGCAGTCCCCAGCCTTCTACATCGAACCTGCGCAACTAATTCTGCTCTGAATATGGCTTCGTTGGAGCACAGATCATCCCTATCTCGTAATGGCTATTGGTTGCAATAAAACCTTGTTTAGGCTTCTGTGCTCACGGACCACTACCTGGCGAAATTACCCCCAACTTGTGTTTTGACGGATTTTTGCGCGCCACAGCGCCATAATGTCCCTGGATCTGACTATTACCTGACAATATGCTCACTCATATGGACATCTTTTCTTTTCTACCTTTTATTAAAATGAAATGTTTTAACATTCCAAAGCAGCTATGCTTGCATGCATATTTGATCACGCCTTTACAGGTGTGTCTCGTTTTACCGAGAATATGCTATTTATTTATTTATTTAAATCGCTGCAATAATTCTTACTATTCGATTAATCACCAAAATAGTTTATTTGATTGGCAATTCATACCTCCTCCCGGACAATTCCCCACATTAGATATCGTCTGAGGTATACGAGGAAATCCTATGATTAACTTGCATTCTTCGGGACGGTGTTCTCTGCCTATCAGTACTCCTCCTTGACAGATGTGTCTAAAAAATTTGTTGTAATGTCCGCGCTCTGGATTCTTTGCTGGACTTTGTGCAGTCATCCAATGCGACCTTCGAACGGGAGGTCGGTAGGCCTTGCTTGTTCTGTTTGACACGAGGTGGGCCGTAACTGGTTTGCCTGCCGTGCTCCGACCTGTGCGCCCACCATCACGTCATACAGGACGTTTTCGCGCTTCTTTTGACCGTCCCTGGCGTACATTTCGCATGGCCTTCACGATATTCACCTACTAGCACTTTCTGCCCAAAGGTAAATGGTCGCTGTTTTGCTTCACGCCGCTGGTTAAAATCCTGTTTCATTCTGCGGATGCTTTCAGAACGTACCAGTCCGTGCGCGGTCGGATGGCGTCGAAAGGCATGCGGAACTTCCGGTTAATCATGGCCTGTGCTGGAGAAACTCTGTGTGGCTTTCGTGGATTCGGTGGAGAAAAAGGAACCGGTCAAGCACTTCTTCTAGCGTCCCCATTAGCTTTGTGGAGAGCTGGCATGAAACTATCGCCAAACATTTCGGCCGGGCCGTTCGAATGGGCGTGAAACGGCTGGAGCGAATGTGCTAGACGGCGCGTTGCTTGCAGAACTCCGTAAACTTTGCCGAAGTGAATTGCGTGCCATTTTCCGTTACAATTGTCCCGGGGCAGTCGAATCTGTTAAAGGTTTGGCGCAGTTCTGATACAGTAGCATTGGTGGTTGCGTTAGCCTTGCGAAATACTTCAGACCACTTGTTGTGAGTCGACTATAATAAGGAAACTTCTGCCGCTGATCGGCCCTGCAAAGTCGACATGGATGCGCCACCATGGCCTAGTAGCTTTTGGCCATGAATAGCGTTCTGATTGTTGTGGCGCTTTCAAGACATTGGCACACGTTTGGCAGCGTTTAGCTGTTTCATCTAGCTGTTTGTCCATGGAGAGCCACTATACATAACTGCGGGCAAGCGCCTTCATGCAGTTGCTTCCAGGATGCCTGGGGTGTAACTGACGGATAAGGTGCACCTGAAGTGCTTTGGGGATGACCACCCCTTTCGAAAATAGTATGCAGTCTTTTACAAAAGAGAGCGAGTGGCTCTACCGGAAATACTGATATAACTAGGCAGAGAAATTGAGCGTGGTCAACTTTCTTGAGTACTGGGTCCCGAAGCGTTCCGGTTTGTACAACTTCTGCGGCAACTGGCAGACCGTGCAATGCATCAGTTAACAGATAGTTGACGTCAAGTTCAACGTCGACCGAGGTACTGGTTGTGTCCTCATGTACTTGCTAATGGGCATCAGTTAGGCGTTACAGTGCATCCGCTTGGCCAAGGGAAATTGTCGACTTGTAGTGGATCTCGATACCATACCCCATCAAGTTGAGCGCCCAAAGTTGTAGCCGATGGCTGTGTAGATCACGATGCACTTTTCATGCAAACGGTAACAAGCAAGGGCTTGTGCTCTGTAGAAAGCTTGAAGCGACGGCCGTAAAACATTTTGTGTAATTTCGTGAACGCGTACTATATGGCCAATGCTTCTTCCTCAATCTGGCTGTGATTCCACTTGGCCTTCGTAAGTTCTTGGCGGCATGGGCGATTGCTTTCTGAGATCCATCGGTGTACGTGTGTGAAAATACTGCGCCAATCCCATGGCTTGATGTACGTGTAGTTAAGACAATCCCTTGGCAGGGATCAATATGAGCCAAAAGCAAGGTTGAGGACAGCAATATCTTAACCCGGTCGAAGACATCCT